CTCTCTCTCTCTCTCACTCACTTGCCTTCCTGTCCTCTCTCTCTCTCTCTCTCTCTCTCTCTCGCTCTCTCTCTCGCTCTCTCTCTCTTTCTCTCTCTCTCTCTCTCTCTTTCTCTCTCTCTCTCTCTCTCTCTCTCTCACTCTCTTGAACATCCGTATTATAGTCACTCTCAAATAAACTCCTACAAAAAAGCTGATTTTCTCAAAAGTGCTAAAATGGATGTAGATGATTGTGCATCTCAGCCCCTCACACGTTTTCTGTGTTTCCACTCTAGGATTTGCTGGTGGGAACAGTGAGCGCTGTGGTGATTTTCTTCACCTTCCTGCGATACATTGAGGGCTATGACCTGTACATGCAGACTCACCCGTTCGCAGCCCCCCTCCTGATGACCACGGCGGTGGCCCTCTGCACCATCTGCTACCCCAGCACCCACAAAGACTCCTCCAAGGGAGACGCGGTCCAGATTGTGGCCGCGGTGGCCGGCTGCAACATCGGCTGCTGGTTCGGCTACCAGATAGGCGTGATGCACGAGCCGGAGGTGACCAAACCGTTTGTTATCGCCATGCCGACGCTGTTCTGGGCTGCCATGGCGGTGCTGCGGTTTGTGAGCGGCACGGCTCTGGTGGGGCTGGTCTACGTGGCGATGCGCTGGTCCACCATCAGGTTTTTCTCCTACCTCCACGGGCTGGAGGTGCCGGATAAGAAGAACCCAAACGTGACGACTGCATACAAGTTTACCACGTACTTTGTCGTTGGTTTTACTATTTCTATTTTAATTCCTTTGCTACACCAGCAGTTAGGTATGCACAGACCCGCAATGTTCTTCGAAGTTTTGTAAAATAGTTTGTTGAAATATCAGATTGCAACCACATTCCCTTTAAAACTTCTTCCTTTATTTTGATTTTTTTAAACGACAAATTTGTGAAACGTGTTTGAGGTGTGTGTGACAGTTTATGTGTGAGAGCTTATTTTTGAGAGTCGTATTTTATTTGAAAGTTGACAAAGTGGCCTTGTTTGTGCTACGCATGTAGGACTTGATTAAGCTCAGTTGCAAGTTTTCAACATTGTTACGCTGTTTTGGTACCTCCTTTGAGATAATTTCTGACTTCTTTTGTCCTATACCCATCACCTCCACCCCCTCCCCTCTTTCCTCCAGAATGAGAAGAACATTCTGATATATATCCTCTCCAACTTTGTGTTTTTGCAAACATATTTTGTACTTTGCTATGTGCAGTAGAGAACTGATTGTATATTTACCCCTTCAAATCATCCATGAGGGAAATGTAGTCCCAGACAATAATCTTACACAGAAGTGTTTTTTAGCTTCAAAGTTGTTCATCAATACCAAGCGCCCTGTTTTCCTTACTGTTTACCCAGGTTGTAAAATTGTGTCCAAGAAAACAGTCTGTCTCAGGACTTTCTGGAACTCCTGTTTATAACCTAATGCATTTCCGATGTAAATACACCTTTCTATTGACGTACTCCACATGTTAATAAGTTAATTCAACTGACGCAAATAACAATCAGTGTTTTTCTGCCTCCAGTTGATTTGATACCTTTCTAAAACAGAATGTATGTACCGCTATCTAGGCTTACCATTTATCCTTTAGTTTTTCCTTTGATGCAACATTTGCCTTCTTATTCCCATACACTACTCATTTTTAAAATATTGAGCTGAAAAAAAAATCTTTTTTTTACCATCTTTATCAATATATTAAGCAGAAAATTGAAAGCTGTTAGTTGTAATTTGAGTAAAGAGAAGCACATTGTCATGACAGAGGTCATTTAATGTAAAAAAAAAAAAAAAGACAAGCATACAGAAACAAGAGATTGAAAGGAGGAAAGAAGTAGGATCCACCAGTGCCACCCTCTAACTGCCTGCTCAAGAAAGGGATGGCCATGACAAGTCCATCCTCCAATGGAACTAGAAGGCTGCCCATCATGTTTTGTGCTGGCTGGAATAATCCCCTTCTATGATTTATTGACACAGAAAGGATGAAGTGCATTGTGGTGTTAACTTGAATAGGATATCATTTTGGACTTTTTGGATTTGCCATGCCCGTTGTAAGATCTCACCTCTGCAGCACTTTGCCTGCTTGCAAGCTCCACTTTGCTTTTGTATGAAGATTTTCTGGATAATGTTTTCAAATCAGACTTGGTGCAGACATAAACCACTTTTTCTGAATTCTCTGAAAGTTTTTTTTTCCACACTGACTTCTTCCACGGGATTCAAACCATGATGTGGTACCAGAACCGTAGGCCAAGAGGGGAATGCTTATCGTCAACACTTTTAGTTTGAAAGAAGTGAAATCATATTTAACTTATCGTACAGAAAAGATAAGGCACAGATTTGAATATGTCATTACTTCTCTTATATGCTTTCATAATTCTGGAACGGGTTTCATTTTTAGAGGGATGATTTCTTTTTTCAGATAAAGTTAAACCTTGTTACATAAAACTGTGCTGAATGATAGTGTTGTAGTTTTGTACTTTTCTACTGTTCATGGTGCATGCAGACTATGGATTGTTGTTGAGGCCCTACAGATCAACTTGTGCTATTGTTGTTTAAAAAAAAAAAAAAAAGATTTGTACTTTTCTTTCAGTTACATGGTGTATAACACCAATAATATTTTTTTTTTTGTAAATTGAAAGCATAGGTAGGTTTCTACCCACAGAAAATAAAGAAGAATATCAGCGTATTGATGCTGAAATTTGGTCGCGGAGATTTTTCTTATTTAGCAGACAGAGTAATGCCCAAATCCACAGGTGTCAAACTCAAGGCCCATGGAGTATCCAGGAGGGTGAACAGTTATGTCTGGGCTTCAATAAAACTTAAAATAGTTCATCCTGAAAATTTCCAAAATAAACTTGTTGCATAGAAACAATACTAAACATTCAGCACTGGCAAATTGGCACAAGAGCAAAAATTGCTCTGCGTTGATTTGTCACTGTCTAAAATTTTGTCTGTTTCAATTCCTGTCATTGTTTTGTAAAAGGTTTGGTTTTCCACTGCTCAATGAGTGTTTATCCAGTTTGGTCTGCAACTTTATGTGTAATTCTGAGTTTGACCCCCTGAGCTATTGAGTTGGACACCTGTGCCTGAATCAAACACGAAATAAGTTACAGTCTCATACAGAGTTTTCTGTGGGATAGAATTGGTCCCGCAGATGTGCAGGACTGAAAATATCATGAATCTCAAAATAGTCAATTGTTATTATTTGATATAATGCGTCAAGTTATTTTTTTACTTAACTATGTATGTCCAGATAATGGGACTTTATCGTAATCAATCTTTTGCAGGCTGTTTGTACCTTCTAAAGTTTGTGCCTGATGTTGGTTTTTCACAAAAACTTAGTGGCCCAGTGAAGTCTGCATAATCCCTGTTAGTTTATTTGTTTCAGTGTGCAATGTAATTTCAATTTTGGAAAAAGCTCTGAAAGACAGGCTCTAGAAATTAAAGGGGGATGGAAATAATGGTATTCGCCCTATTTGTTATGATTTTTTGAATTTCTTATCTGTACAGTGTGCCTCTATTTCTGACTGCAGCTCTTTTTTCAACTGGTAGTCACCGTTTCTGTCTTATTGGAGAAATGATATGCTACCTTGCTCATAGTTTATGTTTTAAACTGCAATCCATAGTTGTGATTATTTGCTAAAAAGTTCAAGTGTTGTTTGAGAAAAAAAAGGAAGTAATGTTGCATCTTTGTGAGACCAAGTGCATTTTTTGTCTTTTTCAATTTACGATAATTTAATAGCACCGTGGATCCGTTTCTTGTCTTTTTTAAGATAATATTTTGTTATAATTTTTTTCGCAAATCCCTCCCCTTCACCCTTCACACACCCCCAACCACCAACAACAATTGGTAGCTTTTAAGGACAAGCGGGCTAACCCAGATTTCGGGGTTTCCAAAAATCTTGGCCTACACGAAAAGTGGGCATTGCCCTACCCATAGGAGAAGTTTGGTTTCAGTGGTGTGTATATTTGTTTGGTTATAGAGAAAACTCTCCTTGTCTTTTAAAGAAACTGAACAAGGGGCAAAAACTTTACCTTCAATTTCTCGAAACAGCATTTTTCGGGATAGCCCCCTTGTGCTTAAAAGCGACCAATTAGAGTTAGAGAACCATATCCTGTTAATGTGCTTATTTATTTTCATGTGCTTGTTTTAAATTATTTATATTTGTGATTCAAATATTAGGAATATAGGTTAATATGTATATGCAAAAAAATATTACTTTATTATTGTAAAGACGCTTAATTAAATTATTACTGATGTAGGTAGATCTATCAATAGTGTTGAATTTATTAATGATGCCTTGTTTTATTTGTCAACCTATTCTATTGTTGGTGTGAAGCAGGAGAAAAATGGAATATTTTTCCCTATGGTTTGTATAAGTTTATTCTGAGTGTAGGAGCTGTGTGATTTAGTCTTATGGAAAATAGTATGAAGCTGACGAAGACACATTTCATCACTGCGCTAGCAAATGGCACATCTCATTTTTGCTACTTTTGAGATAAATGGAAAATAAACTGTAGGCCCTATTACTAGACTATATAACATCATGTAATAATGGTAAAACTCGTCATGCATGTTTCTTTTGTGACTGCCAGCATATTTTTGTTTCAGTTTTACCAAAAGATAGAGATATATAGTACCACCAAACAAAATAAAAGGCTAGTAGTAGTAGTAGTAGTTGCATTTTGGCACCTCTCCGAGTTATACCATATTGCTAGCGCAGTGACGATTTCTGAGAGTTGCTCATAATATTTTTACAATCCTCATTATTGTATCACTTTCCCCCTTGTAAAAAGGCCTTATTTGAATGTGAGTTTTCCGCCTGTAGTTTGGGACTGGAATATCTTCAGTTTCAGACACAGGGGAAAGGTGTCAGTCAGGCGGGATATGAGTCTTTATTAGAGTGTGCATGTTTAGATTTTGTGTACTTGCTCGGATAGTTTTGTGTGTTTGTGTGTGTGTGTGTGTGTGTGTGTGTGTGTGTTTGTGCTTGTGTGTGTATGTTTGTTTGCGTGTGTATATGTGTGTTTGTGTGTGTGTGTGTGTGTTTGTGTGTGTGCGAGGGGAGGG